CTCGCCCAGAGCTAAACACACACACCTGGCCTAGGAGGCAAAAGAGCTGGAAGAGGAGCAGTTGCAGGCTGCTGCCTCATGGCCATGAGGAGAGCCTGCAGACTAGCAACCATACACGGGACTTTAAAAACAGCTGCTGCTGCTGTCGGGCACAGTGACTCATGCCTGTAATCCCAGCACTTTGGGAGGCTGAGGCGGGCAGATCACCTTAGGTCGGGAGTTCGAGACCAGCCTAGCCAATATGGCGAAACCCCGTCTCTACCAAAAATACAAAAATTAGCCGGGTGCGGTGCCGCATACCTGTGGTCCCAGCTACTTGGGAGGCTAAGGTGGGAGAATCGCTTGAACCCGGGAGGCGGAGGTTGCAGTGAGCCGAGATTGTGCCATTGCACTCCAGCCTGGGTGACAGAGCAAGACTCTGTCTCCAAAAAATAAAAATAAAAATAAAATGCCTGTAATTCCAGCACTTTGGAAGGCCGAGGTGGGAGGAATGCTTGAGGCCAGGAGTTTGAGATTAGACTGGGAAACAGTGAGACCTCCTCAGCTCCCCCTGCCCCCAACTGCCATTCTCTACTTAAAAAATTTTATTTATGTATGTATTTATTTATTTATTTTTGAGATGGAGTCTCACTCTGTCACGAAGGCTGGAGTACAGTGTTGCAATCTCAGCTCACTGCAACCTCCACCTCCTGGGTGCAAGTGATTCTCCTGCCTCAGCCTCCCCAGTAGCTAGATTACAGGTGCATGCCACCACACCTGGCTAATTTTTGTATTTTTAGTAGAGCCGGGGTTTCACCATATTTGCCAGGCTGGTCTCCAACTCCTGACCTCAGGTGACCTGCCCGCATCAGCCTCCCGAAGTGCTGGTATTACAGGCATGAGCCACTGCACCCGGCCTAAAATATTTTTTTAAATTAACTGTCGTGGTTGTGCACACCTGTGATCCTAACTACCCTGGAGGCTGAGGTTGGGGGTTGCTTTAGTCCAAGAGTTTGAGGCTGTGGTGAACTATGATCATACCTTTGGAGACCTGCCTGGGCAACAGAGCAAGACCCTTCTCTAAAAAAATAAAATGAAGCTGGGCACGGTGGCTCATGCATGTAATCCCAGCACTTTGGGAGGCCGAAGCGGGTGGATCACTTGAGGTCAGGAGTTCGAGACCAGCCTGGCCAACATGGCAAAACCCCGTCTCTACTAAAAATACACAAATTAGCTGGGCATGATGGCGGACGCCTGTAATCCCAGCTACTCGGGAGGCTGAGGCAGGAGAATCACCTGAACCCAGGAGGCGGAGGTTGCAGTGAGCCGAGATCACACCATTGTACTCCAGCTTGGGTGGCAGAGCAAGACTCCATCTCAAAAAAAAAAAAAATAATAATAATAATAATAATAAAATAAAGTAAATAAGTAAATAAAAAATAAATGAACATTGCAAATCACTATGAAGGTATGTTTGTCCAGGATGATAGATACAGCATATCTGACAGTTTTCTTTATTTACAAATTTTAAATCTTTAGACTTAGTGAGGGAAGAGTGTCTGTGTCAGTAGCTGGGTGGCCAACCCAAGGTAATTTATGTTGAGTGAATATTCCCTAGGTGTGCACTATGCACTTTTCACTGACTTGGTGCAGTAGCATGCACCAAGTCAGAAAGACGCGTAATTTTTAGACTTTTAGATTTTTATTTTTTGAATTCAGGTGATTCAAAATTCAAAAGGAAAAAGTGATATTCAGTGAAAAATGTGGACAAGAAATATTACTTTTTTCTTATGTTCCCTTTGAGAGATATTCTCTACATATATAAACAAATTTGTACCTTTATATCCCCCTTTACACTATTTTAACCCAAATTTTAGCATATTATTTGTACTGTTCTTCACCTTGCTTTGTCACTTAATAAGATATCTTAAAGTTTGTTTGTTTTTTTTAATTTTAAGAGACAGAGTCTTGCTCTGTCACTCAGGCAGGAGTGCAGTGGCACAATCATAGCTCACTGCAGCCTCAAACTCCTGGGCTCAAGCAATCCTTCTGCCTCAGCTTCCTGAGTAGCTAGGACTACAGGTGCATGCCACCACAACTGGCTAATTCTTAATTTTTTTGTAGAGATGGGATCATGCTATGTTGCGCAGACTGGCCTCAAAATTCTGACCTCAAGGGATCCTCCTGTCTTGGCCACTCATAGCCTTGGGATTACAGGCATGAGCCACTGCATTAAACCTTAAATATTGTTTTGTGTTAGTACATGAAGAGCTTCTTTATTCTTTGTTTATAGCTGCATACATTTTTGTTTTTTTAGACAAGGTCTCACTCCTGTTGCCCATGCTGGAGTGCAATGGCGTGATCACTGCAGCCTCGACTTTCCAGGCTCAGCGGATTCTCCTACCTCAGTCTCCAGAGTAGCTGGGACTACAGGAGTGTGCTACCACACCTGGCTAATTTTTGGTATTTTTAGTAAAGATGGGGATCTCACTCTTTGCCCCAGGCTGGTCTCAAATTCCTGGGCTTAAGCAATCCACTGGTCTTGGCCTCCCAAGGTGCTAGGATTACAGGCGTGAGCCGCCATGCCAGCAAGGCTACATAATATTTTAGGGTTTATTTAATTAGTTCCTTATTGAATGTACATTTAGATAGTTAACAATATTTTGATATTACAAACAATGCCAAAGTGAACGACTGTGTCTCATTCTGTAGCCCAGGCTGGAGTGTAGTGGTGCGATCATGGTTCACTGCATTGAACTTCCAGACTCAATCCATCCTCCCGCCTCAGTCAAGTTGCTGAGACTACAGGCGCACACCATCACCATGCCTGGTTAATTTTTGTATTTTTTGTTAGAGACAGAGTTTTGCCATGTTGCCCAGAGTGGTCTCAAACTCCTGAGCTCAAGTGATCCACCCATCTTGGCCTCCCAAAGTGTGTTTAACATTTTGAAAGTCCCTTACCATGCAGAAAGGATTTTGAAATTCTCCCATTAGCACTTTTATTTTAACATTTAAACCCTTAATCCTTTCTGAATTTATTCTAGTATATCAGGTAAGAATCCAAACATTGTTTTCTAGATGGCTACCAGTTGTCCCAACACAATTTATTAAACAATCTTTTTCCTACTAATTAGAAATGCCACCTTTATCGGGTAGTAAATTTCCATTTGGACTTGGGTCTTTTTCTGTAGGTTTTAGGTGTTTCTCCTGATCTGCCTCAGCCAGATACTTTGACCTGTATTTTATTAGTCTGGTATTACATATAAAAAAAAAAGGCATATATCCAAGACTCTGGCACAAATCTATTCAAACTCCATTCAGAGCAATATATGCAACGGATGAATTGTTCTCTGGGGGAAATATTTAAAAATCCTACATCTGCTAAAATCCAATGTTCTTCATATGTTGAGGCTGCTGTCCAAACCATAACTATTGTCAGTATTGGTCAACGAATCTTGATTTTAGAGTGAAATAGGTGTTGAGCGTCAGATTTTTTTGTTTTGTTTTGTTTTTTGTTTTATTTGTTGTGATGGAGTCTCACTCTGTTGCCCAGGCTGGAGTGCAGTGGCACGATCTCGGCTCACTGCCACCTCCACCTCCTGGGTTCAAAAGATTCTCGTGCCTCAGCCTCTGAGTAGCTGTGATTAAAGGTGCGCGCCACCATGCTGGCAAACTTTTGTGTTGTTTTTTAGTAGAGATGGGGTTTTGCCATATTGGCCAGGCTGGTCTCAAACTCCAGACCTCGGGTGGTCCACCCACCGTTGCCTCCCAAAGTGCTGGGATTGCAGGCAGGAGCCACCGCACCTGGTCCCCCGAGTGTTAGTTTTGATTGTTTTTATGGGTCAGATTAGCGTGTTGGTGAACTGTGCTTATGGTTAGGGTAACAAACAGATTCTACCATTTCTCTGCTCACCTTCTTACTTTCTCCCAAAGAATGGTTCTGGTTTTGTTTTGTTTCAGTCAACAACCTACATACATTTAATTGATATCCTAAACTCAAACCACCCTCTTCTCAATACTAGCGGCATTTTGATTTGTAGGCAGCTTTAAGACAGCTCCAGGACTATGCCTTGCGGATCTCCAAGTTTGGGGGCGTGTAATTGAGTGAGGAGCTGGCTGTGCTCTAAAATTTACTGAAGTGTTTTTGCTGAGGTGAGGCCTTTCAAAAGCTGCTACTCCCAGCCCGTGACTGAGGGCAGCAGGGATATTAAGGCAGGTCTGGAAGACAGGGAATGCCTCTCATAGCTTCATAGCTGCCTTGGGCTTCAGGACTACCTACTGGCCTTGCTGAGCCTTCTTTTGACTGCAGAGTAGTTGAGGACACTTCTGCCCAACTTTCCCTCCTCCTTCACTTAGGATCAGGTTTGCGTGGTGGTCTGATGTTTCTCCCAGTCTTACACAGCTTTCTCCCATTTTCTCTCACACAGGCACTTCCCCTAATAAAATTCCTGCACATAGTCCTGATTTGACATCTGATTCTTGGAGGAGCTGAATTAATGTGAGCTTCCCATTCTTACAGCCATTAAATGTATTGTTTGGTAGTTTCCCTACGCACCCATCAAAAGCAGTTGTATGTTGGATCTTTGCTTCACTTTCCAATTGTGTGTTAGGAATAGCTCTTTTGCTCAATTCAGTATAGTATCCTGCCTCTTACCCACAGATATGCAGTCACAGATCATTACATCTGTATGGCAGTAAGTTAGGACTTTGAGACTTCAGTGGTCACATAGCAGGCATGAATGGAATATTCATGGTAAGAGCAATTGGTGCCTGATGAATAACACAAAGAGGTAATTTCAATTTGAGTTTCATAGAGGGTGTACCCAAAGAACTGTTCCCGGAGGCTGAGATCACACTTTTGTTGGTAGGTGAAGCAGGATTAATGCATCACCCTGAAGAATGATGAGCAGACACACCCTTGAATTTAGTTAAATATGCACCCTTCCTGCCTTTACTCTAGAAGTTCAGTGTTTCCAAAGCTATGATTTAAGGGTAAACGTTCTTCCTCTCTCCATCTTCAGGGCTTCTGATATTCTGGAGAAACCAGTGTTATCTGAGTGTTAAAGCTCAGTTATTAATCCTTTCTCAGAGTTCCGGGATAATGTTATTAGCTTTCAAGCATGTGATGCATCCCAAGAGAGCTGTTGACTTCCAGTCTGACCAAATTCTTTCACGTTGTGGCGTGTACGATGTATAAACGTTTTGGAATGCCTCTGAGACGACTTCTGCCGGTGAGTCTTTCCTCTGAGTGTCTTTGGGGCTAGAACAGTCATGTCCATTTCATTGTTGATTAGGTGTTCGTATAAAAAAGAATTTTTAAATGCTTTACTTAACAGCTCTGATTAACACTGAGTATTTAGATCCTGATGTGTCAGTTATAGACATTTAATCTCTCATCATTAAATATTTCTGCCTCTTTCACTGAATAGAGGAGGATGTATGTGAGCAACATATGGGTGGAGTTGATCTGAACAAGAATTTAGGGAGGAGAAAATTATACGATCTCTAATTTTTTTAGGGAGAGGCTGAATCTACCTCACTAACTTTTATTAGGCTTGGCTCAAAGGCTCCTATCTGTTCATAGACCATCCCAGTTTGGTGTGTCAGCTGAAATAATGTGCAGCTCTACATTTATTTATTTGTTTGTTTATTTATTTAGTAAACTTACGGAGTTTCGCTCTTGTCCAGGCTGGAGTGCAATGGCATGATTTCGGCTCACTGCAACTTCTGCCTCCCGGATTCAAGCCATTCTCCTGCCCCAGCCTCCCAAGTAGCTGGGATTACAGGCATGTGCCACCACACCTGGCTAATTTTTTGTATTTTTAGTAGAGAAGGGGTTTCACCATGTTGGCCAGGCTGGTCTCAAACCCCTGTCCTCCCTGTGTTGCACAGGCTGGTCTCAAACTCCTGGCTTCAAACGATCCTCCCAAAGTGCTAGGATTGCAGGTCTGAGCCATGGCATCCCGCCTCCATAAATAATTTTTAAATAAATAGAATGAGTTTGGGAAAAGCTGCATACCATATTTCCCTCTTGAAGAGCAACAATGCATATTAGCAAATTATGTCCTTTAAAAGACCAGTAGTAAAGAAAGTTTGTTTGTTTTGTTTTGTTTTTGAGACAGTTTCGCTCTTGTTGCCCAGGCTGGAGTGCAATGGCAGGATCTCATCTCACTGCAACCTCCACCTCCCAGGTTCAAGCAATTCTCTTGTCTCAGCCTCCTGAGTAGCTGGGATTACAGGCGCCCGCCACCACGCCCAGCTAATTTCTGTATTTTTGGTAGAGATGGGGTTTCATCATATTGGTCAGGCTGATCTTGAACTCCTGACCTCAGGTGATCCACCCACCTCGGCCTCCCAAAGTGCTGGGATTACAGGCTTGAGCCACTGCACCCGGCCAAGAAAGTCTTTTTTTTTTTTTCTTTTTGAGACAGAGTCTCTGTCACCCAAGCTGGAGTGCAGTGGCGTGATCTTGGCTCACTGCACCTTCCGCCTCCCTGGTTCAAGCAGTTCTCATGCCTCAGCCTTCCTAGTAGCTGGGATTACAGGCGCCTGCCACCGTACCTGGCTAATTTATGTAGTTTTTGTAGAAACAGGGTTTCACCATATTAGCCAGGCTGGTCTTGAACTCCTGACCTCAGGTGATCTGCCCCCCCGGGCCTCTCAGAGTGTTGGGATTACAGGTGTAAGCCATGGCACCCAGCCTGAAAATTTTAACTTTCATTCATCCAACATTTCCTAGCTAATATGTCCACATATCTCTTTTTTTGTGTAACAGTGGTGCACATCCTTTAGGACTAACGCTATGCAGAAAGGTTTGGGAAATGGTAACCTGCTCCATCCATCCTCCTTATTTAGCTGGAGAGTCACAAAAAAAAGCAAAATAGGAATTTTTGACGAGATCCAACTACAATGAAATTCAAAAATACACAAATTGCAATGACCTAAACCCCAAGAAAAACAAGGCCTGAGATTATAATAAATGTTTTGAGGGGCAAATTGTCCCCTGGTTTAGATGGAAGCAGAGATGTCTGGGCAGCCTGTTGTTTTTTCAACGTAATCTGAGCTGTGCCCTGGTTGGAGGAAGAGCTATTTCCAACTGGATGCCCTCTGGTTATCATTTATACTTCTTTGGTTTGACAAGCAGAGGAATGCTTGCTTCGGAGTCTTATTGACCCCTAATCAGCCATTTACTAAGAAAACATCAGATTTTTAAAAATATATTTATTTATTCATTTATTTTAGACACAAGCTCTTGCTGTATTGCCCAAACTAGATTTGTACTCCTGGGCTCAAGTGATCCTTCCACCTCAGCCTCCCAGATAGCTGAGACTACAAGCATGTGCCACTGCACATCTGGCAACATCAGTTTTTCTTTTTTTTTTTTTTTCTTTTTGAGATAGGACCTCACTCTATTGCCCAGGCTGGAGTACAATGGCACAATCATGGCTCACTGCAACCTCCATCTCCTGAGCTCAAGTGATCCTCCCATCTCAGCCTCCTGAGTAACTGGGACTACAGGTGTGCACCACCGTGGCTGGCTTTTTTGTATTTTTTTGTAGAGATGAGGTTTTGTCATGTTGCCCAGGCTGGTCTCAAACACCTGGGCTCAAGTAATCCACCTGCCTCGGTCTCCCAATGTGCTGGGATTACAGGCGTGAGCTACCACGCCCAGCCCCAGCTTTTCTTATTTGTAAAACTGAGATAAAATCCTACCTACCTTGCCGTCAAAGGATTTGCTGTGAAACATTTGAAGCTTAAGCCTCAGGTCCTTCATTTAGATGTGCCTCTTCTACAGTTTTTTGCAATTTCTGTACTCTTTCTTTTCTTTTCTTTTTTTTTTTTTTTTTTGAGATGGAGTCTCGCTCTGTCACCCAGGCTGGAGTGCAGTGGCCGGAGTGCAGTGGCCGGATCTCAGCTCACTGCAAGCTCTGCCTCCCGCGTTCAAGCCATTCTCCTGCCTCAGCCTCCCAAGTAGCAGGGACTACAGGCGCCCGCCACCTCGCCCGGCTAGTTTTTTTGTATTTTTTTAGTAGAGACGGGGTTTCACCGTGTTAGCCAGGATGGTCTCGATCTCCTGAACTCGTGATCCGCCCTTCTCGGCCTCCCAAAGTGCTGGGATTACAGGTTTGAGCCACCGCGCCCAGCCCCTTTTTTTTTTTTTTTTTTCTTGAGACGGAGTCTTGCTCTGTCTCCCAGGCTGGAGTGCAGTGGCACGATCTCGGCTCACTGCAAGCTCCACTCCCGGGTTCACTCCATTCTCCTGCCGTAGCCTCCCAAGTAGCTGAGACTACAGGAGCCCGCCACCACGCTTGGCTAATTTTTTCTATTTTTAGTAGAGACAGGGTTTCACTGTGTTAGCCAGGATGGTTTCGATGTCCTGACCTCGTGATCCGCCCGCCTCAGCCTCCCAAAGTGCTGGGATTACAGGCGTGAGCCACCGTGCCTGGCCTGTGTTCTCTTTCTTAATAAGCACCCCTAAGAGTATAAACTCCAGACCTCTTGCAACTCGGATCCTATACTAATTGGGCATGGTAAGTAACCAGACTGGAAGCTCCATGAGGGCAAGAATCCGCCACCCCCAGCATTCAGAACCTGGCTGACAAGTGATAGGAGTTCAATAAACATTTGCTGAGGACTGAGTGTTTAAAGATCATGTACATTTAATAAGGACCTGGAAAATAGTCATCATTAAATGGCGGTTTTTTTGTATAAGGCGTCAGATAGAGGCGGAAGGGAAAAGTGCACTCAAAGATGTTTATATGCAGAAATACGTAAATGTGATTGGTTTCGAATCCACCCGCAATACCTATGAAGAATTTTCAATATCATAGGAACAAATTGCAGGTTGAGAAGTGTAAACTTGTCCCTTTGCTCTAAAATGAATTTGCTCTTTCCCGCTTACTGTCATCAAGTATAGACCATCTTGTTTGGAAGACAGCTGGGCAGTTCGCTCTTATCTGCAAGAGCATGCCAAAGGGGACATTGATGCAACATTAATCGTATTCTAAGCTCCATACAGTGCAGGTGAAATCATTAGAACAGCAAACGCCCCGTCTGTTCCTTAAGAGACGGATGATTTTCTCACTCAGTGATAACTGGTATTTTTTGTGATAATGATGGGGAAGGTGAGGGCTTCACGGAAGCCAGTCAACAAGCAGTTGGGAAAACAGGAACAGTGGTGTGTGTGCGCGCGCATGCACTCACATGCTCTTTGTTATAGCTGCCTCTGTAAATGGAAAAAGCAGCTGAATCCCTTGGGAATAGCAATTAACTGCAGCTTCAGTACCTGAACTAGTAATACAGTGAGCATGAAGGCACTGCCGGGCTAGAGAGGCTTTGCTGTTCTTTCCTCCTCCGCACCTCCTACCTTCTCTGGAATCCTTCCTCGAAGGCACTCACCCTGCTCATTATCATAAAGAATGGCTGGAATGTGAGGATGACTGGGACTAACCCCTGCCGTTCCATTGTCTGAATCTTAAACACTGCTCCAGTCTAGTCAAAGGAAATGAAAGCAGAGGGACAACCCAGCTTATAAACACTGGGTACAAGATGTCAGTGCGTCGCTGCTCCCTGGAACACTGCTATTTGTCACACAGAGCCCCATCTGTTCAAGGCGGAGGAATGCTCTTTGCTTGAAGAGGAAAGGATGAATTGATAGCAATATTTCCTAGCTTTTTCATTAGAGGGTTTGAGAAATAGCCTTTCCAAAGAATGACACCATTATTTATAATCCGGTTGAGTTATGAATTTAAGAACATTACTGGGCTGAGGTTTTCATCTGCTTTGGTCAAGCCTAAGGTGTGGCAGGCCTCCAAACCTTTCCTTTGAGAATTCTGCTCTGTTAATGAATTTCATAAATCTGACAAGTTTTTGCTGCCCCCCCAAAAAGTATTTGGCTTAATTTTATGGTGAGCAGAATTCAAAAGGCAACAGTAAGGAAAATAACAGCTTTATTTTATTTTATCTTATTTTATTTTATTTTATTTTATTTTATGAGACAGGGTCTCGCGCTGTTACCCAGGCTGAAGTGCCGTGGTGCAATCTCAGTTCACTGCAGCCTCCACCTTCTGGGCTCAAGCGATCCTCCTGCATCAGAATAGCTGGGACTACAGGTGCACGCCACCAAGCCCCGCTAACTTTTGTATTTTCGGTAGAGATATGGTTTCGCCATGTGGCCAGGCTGGTTTTGAACTCCTGACTTCAAGTGATCTGCCCTCCTCGGCCTCCTAAG